GCTTGTTAGGTGCCTTGTTTGGGGGGGTGGAATACCTAACATACAGAACCTAAGGGAGGAAAAGTGTGTTTTAACTCAGTTTCAGAGGTTTCAGTCATGATCAGCAGCTCCAAGGCAGAGGCAGTGTCATGGAAGGGCATGGCAGGGCAACGCTGCTGTCCTCCAGGTAGCTAGGAAACAGAGGAAGAAGTAAAGAGCCAATGAGGAAGCAGCTGGGAGCAAGACACGCCCCTCACAGTGCCTCAGGACCCCTTTCCTCCCGGGCCCGCCCCTCCCAGCTCATTAACCAATCAGTGCGTCACTCCATCAGCACACTCAGTGCCCTTGGGATCCAGGCACCTCCCTAGCCCCTGCCTCTGAGCGATACTATGCAGGAGATCCAGCCCTCTGTGCCAGGATCTTCAGTGGACACTTCATGTTTAATCCATAATAGTGATGATAGCAAACGCCGGAGGGAAAGGTCAGGAATTAAAGGGAATCTTGTAGCTAATCATTGGCTGGCCACTTACTTGTAATGAACCAAGTATCAACACAGGTGGGCAGGCTTAAAATGAAAATAATCAACAAAAAAGAGTTACCAAGAACTTTGCACAGCGCATGGAATACAGCGTCCGCAAAGTTAGTCCAAGTGATTATGTAGAAAGTAAACAAGAAGAAAACAACAAGAACAAAAAACTCAGCAACGACAACAAACCCTGGATGGGAAGAAGATGTATAATATCACACTTTTCATAATATTTCACCCAAAATGTCTGGTTCCCAAGAAAAAGTTTAAAAACTAGAAAGAAACAAAAAACTATGCCACTTGGGGTAGGGGGGAGCCTGGAGTGGAAATTATCATTGAAGAATCCCAGATGTTGAATTAGGAAAAGGCTTTAAATCAGCTAGTTTAGGTACATTCAAAGAACTACAGGAAATTATGGCTTAAAAAAATTATGGCTTAAAGAAAATTAAAACCACTGGGTCTCACCACATGAAGGGTAAGTATCTGTGGAAAGACAGACATTTTGACTAAGAACTCAGCAGAAGCTCTGGGGTGGAATCCACAGTAACTGGGGGAGGAGGCACCAGCCGGGTAGGCGGCAGTCTGAGCCGCACAGCAGCGCTCAGCAAATCTGAGGACATGATCATATGGGTTGCCCAGCAAGAGGAACGAAACGAAAAATGGGTGAAGAAGAGTGTACAGAGACTCCTGTGCTCATGCGACATTATGACGAGTGCCAGCAGACACAGACACATCATGAAACCCTTGGAGGAAGAGCAGAGCAACAGGGCCAAAATTGTTCAAAGAAAAAATGGCCAAAATTTTGATTTAAAAATCCTATAAAGTCAGAAGCTTAAGACACTCCAGTGAATTTGAAATAATTGACAACTATGCGATTATAGGTGTCAAATTAAGAATGTTAAGTAAAGACAAAAAACAGTTTTGAAAATAGCAGGACCAGAAGAAGGTCCACTACCGAGGGGCTGCAGCGTAACTAACAGTGGATTTCTCCTCAAAAGCCATACGACTCCCAGGTGACATCTTCAAAGCACTGAGCAAAAATGTTTTCAGCCACTCACTCTAATCTTTCTTTCAGAACTCCAGAAGAGAGTATCAAAAGTCATGCAACGTCCACATCAAAATGTGCGTGGGTATTAAGAGCAGGCCATTCACAGCTGACCAAAGAGAAGAAACCAAGATGTGCCTCAGTATGTGAACGGTGAAGGGAATGTGGCCCATTCAGATAATAGCATGCTATTCAGCACTAACAGGAAATGAGCATCCAAGCCATGAAGGCCACGGAGCAAGCTTAAATGCATGTTACTAATAAACCAATCTGAAATATACTCCTCATCCTTTATGATTTCAGCTGTGTAACACTCTAGAAAGGCAAAATTATGGAGAAAATAAAAGCACCAGTGATTCCCAGGAGTACAGGGGGGAGGTGGGGTGAAAAGGTGAGACAGGATAGGTGGAGGATGTGGTGTTACAGAGGTAGATAAGGATCTCGGTGCCTTTGTCCACACCCAGTAGAACCCAGCACAAACCAGTGAGTGCAGTGATGCATCACGGGGGCTCATTGTGGTGATCCAGGTCCGCTCCCTTGGGAGGCCACGGTGTGTGGGGCAGGGGTGTGTGGCCGTCTCTGAACCTGCCTTTCATTTCTCTGTGTACCTGCGGTGGCTCCAAAACATGCGATCAATTTTTAAAAGGAATTCTGCCAACAGTAATGATGCATGAGACTGTGAACATCTTTAATCAAGCAGAACTGTGATTTACAAGGGGTTAAAATGGAAATTTCACATTATGTGTATGTTACCACAATGAAAGTTGCTGCAAGAAAAGAAGCAATGAGCTTCAAAATAAGGGAAAGTATTTGCAGACTTGTATATCTGATAAAGAACTTCAACCCCAAATACATAAATACTTCTTAAACGTCAACAATATAAAGACAACCTAATATAAAAATGAGCCATAAATCTGAACAAGCATCTCACCAATAAAGCATACATATTGCCAACAAAACTATGATAATGTGCTAAATATTTTCAGTTATTAGGGAAATGCAAATTAAAACAAGATACACACTTCACACCCATTAGATTTATTATGATTAAAAAGATATACTAATAAGTATTGGACAGAAGGAAGAGAAACAAACCCCCACACACTGCTGGTAGGATTTTAAGGTACATTCACTTTTAAAATAATCTAGCAATCCCTCAAAATGCAAGTGTAGAATTACCCAAGAACACTAATCACATGTTAGCTCTAAATCTTCTACATAAATGTTAATAATAGCATTATTTGGAATGGAGTCAACAAAAATGTTTAGCAGCTGATAAAATATAGTGTATCTATTAAACAGAAGACTATGTGGCCATAGATAGAAATGAAGTGTCAAAAAGTGCTACAGTATAAATGAACCTTGAACACATTATTCTGAGAAAAAGAAGCCAGTCACAGAATATTACATATTGTATGATTCCATTTATGTAAAATATTCAAAACAGGCAAATCTAAGAGACAGAAAATGAATGACTGGTTCCTTAGGACTAGATAAGACAAGAAGTGGGTATATGGAAGGGAAACTGAAAAATGAGTCTAGGATTTCATTTTGGGATGATAAAAAATTTGCAAATTTAGATTATGTTGATAGTTTCACCACAAGAATGCATTAAAAAGCACTTAAGTGTGCATATTAAATGTAATAAATTTATGTATTTGAATTGCATCTCAGTGAGGTTATTTTAAAACGAATTGAAAAGAAATGTAGCATAAATACCCTTTCTAATTATGTCAGCCTACTGAGAATGTAAATCAAATGGGATGACGGCTAAAAGCCAAGTCAGATGTTTCACGATTTCATAGAAAAGCTTCCGGCTCAGCCTGAAGCTCAACACTGTCAAATCAGGGTAGCGACGGTGTCCCTGTTACGCTGATGACAGTCTCACAGGGCAACGCATCATCATAAAGCAGGGTGCCTGCCTGTGATCTGTATCAGTCTTTGAATGACATTATCAAGCCGACACTGTCAGGCCAAGAGGAGAGAACAATCAACAGGGAAGAGTGTGGTTAAGAGTTTCACAAACTGCTCCAAATGTTTACTCTTCCGTGTTCAGCCGCTCTATTGACATGTTTGCAAAGGCACGTGTGCATGGTGCAGATTGTGTTATACGCAGGATAATCCATCAAGTGTGTCAGGTATCACTGTCTGTGTGGATCAGCAAAGGCTGCTATGTGCCGGATGACATCCTGGGCCCTAGGTCTGCCCTTAGGATCCAGACACGTTGCCTATAGGACAGTGCAAAGAAGGCAGATGCCCCAGGTCAGCCCTCCAGAAGAGTAAAGGGTGCAGTTCCAGGCGTGGCTCTGAAGTCTAAGCACAGCTGAGGAAGCAGACCCTGGGCCAGTGTCTGGCTTAGACTTAGGGACTCATGAGCTCGTGGTGCCAGCTGAGATGCCCTGGCTATATGCACGTCCCCACTGGACCTCCAGCAGCAGACGCACCAGGGTCTCTCCTCCTGAAGTCACTGACAGTGTGGGAACTGGTCTCTGGAAGAGGCCAGAGTTTGTTCATCAAAAGTGGAAATTGATACACAGTAGCACTGTCTCAGTCAGGTGTCTGGTCCTATAACAAAACTGAATAATTGATACAGAGCAAAGAGTTTCTCTCACGGTCCTGGAGGTCTAGGAGCATGGCCCCAGCGTTGGTTTGGCCTCTAGTAAAGTCCTCACGCTTCTTTATATCCGACTGAAAAAGTGGAAAAAGAGGAGGACCATGAGGAAGGAGTGTGCTGTACGAAACCCAGAGGGCATCTGCTTTATAACAACCGGCTCTTGGGGTGATCCATCCTGTCCTTGATTCCAATTCACTGCTGCGAACCTAATCCCCTCTCCAGGGCATGTGCCCAGTCTCCAGGAAGGACATAGTCTGTTCCTGAGGACGTGGCCCCTTCTGTCCCCACCCCTCCCCAGGTAGCTGTCATAACTTCCCAGCACCTCTCAGTGCAGCTACCCTGCAGACAGGCTTCCAGCACATGGCCTTGGAAGACACGTGGCATCCCAGCAGGACAAGTACCAAGCCAGCTGACTCCTTGAGTCCTGAGGGAAAGTCTTATTATGGTCGTCACTCCTGACATCGGTGGCACTGACCTCTAGGGAAGGGTGGGAGGTGTGAAGAGCATAGGCCAGAGAGTGAAAAGGGCCTGTGTCCAGCAGACGCTGACCAGCACATCCCCTCTGGGTGGTGCGGCAGCAGGTGCAGCTCAAGGCTTCTGGTAAAATAAACGGATCTGCAGTCCCTACTCCCGCAGGCACCCAGACCCGGCCAGGCTTGCCCACGGCAGGATTAAGAAACCTCTACCTCTGGTTTGTGGTTTCCAGGTCTCCGAGGAGCCTTTGGAGAACCATCACGGCCTAAGATTTCAAGTCCTACTAAAGATCAGAATTGCAACTTTTACTTTAACAGTTTATCCACTGTGTCTCCAAGTGCTGTATTTGTTCTGTGTTGTAGACGGCTACCCCAAGGAAGAGATGATTTACAGATGGAGGAAAAACTCAGTGGAAGCAGCTGACCAGAAATCGTGGCGGCTCTACCAGTTTGACTTCATGGGCCTCAGAAACACCACCGAAACCGTGACGACGTCTGCAGGTAGGCAGGGGCTGCGGCTGCGCTCGGAAGACATTGTTTGAAAGCTTTTTCTCCCTGAGGTCTAAGGCTATGTATAGTTATAGCACTGAGGGGAAGTTTCTTCATGTATATTCTTTTAACAATCATAATAGAGCAACCCTGATACACAAGTGACATTTGGAATAAAACCTCTGAGCCAGAAGTAAAAATATTTTTAAAACATTTCAATTTACATATGGGATTAATTAGAATTAATTTATTTTTTAATTGACTGCATTATGTCTATAAACTTAGGTTTATGAAAGATTACTCACTACTGACTATATTTATAAGCAAATTATGTATATATACAAATTTTACTACTGGTGTGAGCTCTATAACTTCCCACATATAGCTGAAAATTTTACTGAAAATTCACAAATAAAGACATCCAATGTGAAATATCCTTCAAATTTTAATTTCTAGTTTGTTCCTGTTTTTATTCTTCTTTTTCTTCTATCCTAGGCCTTATGTTAACTTTTTAATTTCTTTTTCAGCAGATTGAAAGCAATAATTAGCTACAAATTGATTTTATCGAATGATCATTTACACATATAATAAAGCATATAATTAGATGAAAATGATACTTTGCCTGTTACTATATTATTATAAGACCTAAATATATTTTATCATGTATCAATATGTGAATATTTTTCATTTTGCTTTATGTTTTTGTCTTTTAAAAATATATGTATTCTTATGGTCAATCATTTCGCAAAAAAAAAAAAATACATATATTCTTATGGTCCATTATTTTGCAACTGATTTTACTCCAGCAGTGTGTGGTGTAGATGGGGACTGGAGTCACCTTCTACAGATCTTCCCAGTTGTGCATATGCAGAACTTGTTACCTTTAAATTTCTGTAACAATTTATTGCAGTGAGGACTATATTGCAATGTCAGTTTTTGTAACTAATTATAAGTAGGTTTAGATGGTGCCCCAAATTGTTGATAAAATTGCAAAACAGAGAGTCATTTATGCATCAAGGAGGACCCTGAAAAAGCTACCTGATCAAATAAGAAAAGCCAAAGATTCCCTATGAGTGTCATGGTGGCAAAAATGAGAAATGGGATCTGTGTCCAAATTTTAAACAATGATAAGATTCAAAGAATAAAAGCATCATTCACTGAAATGAAGGGAGGAGGCAGCGTCAAGGGAGGTGTTCCGGCAAAGCACTGTCCCCAGTCTGAGTGCCCCACATGAGCCGTCCAATTCTGTGTCCTGAGAGGCTGGAAGACCCCAGCGGCCCTGGCCGCCCACGGGGCCTGCTAAACGTGAGGGTTGATTTAGCATCTAAACGCCACATGTAGAGATTCCTCCTCCTTTCCTGCTGCCATCTGCAAGAGGATGTTAAACAAAGGAAATGTAAAGACAAGCTGGGCCTGACTGCATCCAGGGTTTTGAAACTAAAGAGGCACTAGCCTTGGATCAGCTGAGGGAGCTGAGGTGACCGTGGGAACGAGGGTATCTAAGTGCTCTTCACCCACAGAGACATTAGCATGAATCCAAGTTTACACTCTGAATATCTTACAACCACACTTGTGTATAGTATGTGTAATACCCAAAGCCCTGTTTTGTCTGACTCTACTTGTAAGGTAAACATCCTTTGATAATTTTTAAAAATCTGGCTCCTGTGTTCGGGACTGAAGGAGTGTGTGGCTAGCCACCGGTGAGCCTGTAATCACATTAACACAGCAGTTCTGACAGGAGGAGAAAGCTCCCTTGTGTGGCCGAACTAGAACTGCAATATGTGTTTACAGAACAGTAAAGCATGCAGCTGGCTACTTAGGTTAGACAGATTCCCATTCAACTTACAAGACAAACGGTTCCCTTTGGCTCACGATTTCAGGGTTCCAGTCCCCAGTCTGGGCTGTGTGAGACAGCTCGTCAGGGCAGAAGCGACAGAGCAAAGCTGCTTTCTTCAGGACTGGGAAGTGAAAATGAGAGGAGGAAAGAGGGGGGATCCTTGTTCCCTCCCAGACCACAGGAGTCCTGCCACTGAGCCCACCTTTCGGGGTTCTGCAGCCACCCGATAGCACCACTCTGGGGAACGGACCATCCACGTGTGGTTCTCAGGGAGCGTCCAGGTGCAAGCCGTCACACTCTTAGGGTGTTCTGCCGTTCAGTAATCATATTCTTAATGCAGTCATAACTCCAAGTATGAAAAGTAAACAGACAAATCCTGCCAAATTCACCTACTGGGAGAAAACCGTTGTTACTCATAACCTGAATATCAGTGCAATTCGCATAAATTTCTTATCGTAAAATGAATTTCCTGCTAACATTCATAGCTTCACATCGTCTTTATAAGATCCCTCAAAGAAGCCTTATAAATGTCATTTTTTAATCTGGGGGCACTGATCCTACTTCTTACTAAGGGGATTCCCAGATCAGCCCCCTCCCTGCTAGAAAGTTAGTTAATATGACATATCACATCTAACTGATCTGGAAAAGAGGTGCTGAGAATCCATTACTACCCTAAAGCAGCTTCATCATAACTATCAAGCTTTGTCTTGTTGACAAGCTTTTTCATAATCTTTTTAAAGGAAATAGGACATTTTTATGATACCCATCCTTTTATTCACTTATCCAGGGTTCCATTTGCAGAGGAAAAGCTTACACCTCTTGCTATGATGAAATATTGCCAAAAGGAGCATCAAAGATGAACGAAATATTTTCCATGTTTAGCTGTGCAACATTTCTGTGGAATCGAGTTAAAGTATGTTAGGAGAATGATAATTACAACCCACACACGCAAGAAATCAGGCTGCACCTGCCACTGGGGTGGGCTGTTTTGTGTGTGTTTTTCTGGCCACATTCCCCGTAAAGTAGGTGTCACCAGTTAAGACTGTATAATGAGTCTTAGCAATTGCTTGCTAAGCTTAGCTGACGTTTTAGTAAAGCAGAGGTGCTATCATGCTTGGGGTTCTGTTATCATTTTAGATCCCTGTCTTTCTGTAGAAAAATGTTTTAAATGTCCTACACTGTAAAACTGTAAGTGAAGGCAATGATATATGGTTTCCCCTTGACATCATCAGGGGATTGGTTCCGGGACCCCACGGATGCTCCCATCCACGGCCACGCACATCCTTCGGGATGCAACACTGCTTATACTCCACGCACACCCTGCTTTAAACTGCCTCTGTGTTATTCATAATACTGAATGCAGAATAAATTTAAGGTGAATAGGTGTTATACTTCACTGTTTCTGTGGTGTTGTTTGCTAACCTATATTACATAAAATAGAAGTAATGTTCCCTCCTAGGCCACATGAATCCTTCCACTGAGCCCACCTTTCCAGGTTCTGCAGCCACCCAATAGCCCCACTCTGGAGAACGGAACATCCACATGTGGTTCTCAAGGAGCATCCAAGTGCACGCTGTCACACTCTTAGGGTATTCTGCCGTTCAGTAACTATATTCTTAATATGGTTATATCAGTCACCTTCCCACTGCTGACACAAAATACCCAACACCTGCAGTATGACAGAGAAGGAGTTTCTTTTGGCCCATGGTTTCAGCCCATGGTTGGCTGTCTCCAAAGCAAAACACCATGGCAGGGTGGCCTGGTGGAGGAAAGGTCTTCAGCCATGAGAGCCAGGACACAGAGAGGGGAGCAGAGGAGCCAGGCACAGGAAGCAGCCCTTAGGTCCCACCTCCAGTGACCTGCCTCCTCTGATAGACCTCACTGCCCAACAACATGTTCAAGCACGAACTCACCAGTGGATGCGTAGAGCACCCTCATGAAGCAGTCGCTTCCAGAAGCCCCATTTCTGAACACATGAGACTTTGAGGGGGGCATTTGAGATCAAAACCATAACACCCCCTCTCTGTGCTCCAAAGGCTCATGTCTATCTTAGTATAGAGACAATCTCTGACTCAACTCAGTTTAATTACATTGTTGAAAAGTTCAAGCCTAAAGTCTTCTCTTAATACAAATTCTTTAGCTCTGAACCTCTGTAAAAATCAAAAAGAAAGATATTTTCAACATACCATGGCTCAGGGTAAGCACTTTCAGTCTAAAAGGGAGGACAGAAAAGAATTGGACCAAAGCAAAACTAAAGTCCAGCAGGGTAAATATTAAATCTTGTAGCTCCACTTCCAGCATCCAGAGCAGGCTGGTAGGAGATGTGAACTCAGCCTATGGCCTTGCAACCCACATGGGTTGGACTGCTTCCACACACCGCCCATGCGTGATTTTCCTCAGCAGACTCTTCACCTTCCTGGCATCTTCAGCTTCTTGGGCTCTCCACTGGACCTGGGGCTCCCTCACAGCTTCATGCATCAAAATGTCAGGGGCTCCACACCTGGATTTTTTGAGATATCTGGATGGAGACTTGTGTGACCCCACAACTCTCGCCTCCAAAACCTGATGCCAAGGTCAGCCAAGGTCAGCCACCAATAGAAGTAGTATCTGGGTCCCCTTGGACCATCGCTCCAGTAGCTTCTGAACATGTGCGTGGTGGACTCTAGGAACACTTTCCTAGACAGCTTTGTGTAAGCTTGTATGATCTTCAATTTGTCTTCTCACAGCAAAGGGTTATACCTTTACAGCTGTGGGCCTGTAATAGGTGGGGTCTTGAAGATTCATGAGATGCCTTCAAGCCATTTTTCCTATTGTTCTAGTGAAAAGTATTTGGTTCCTTCTTAATGCTAACCCTTTCAGCAAACATACTGTCTATGGCCCTACTTTGTAGGTGCTGTCTTTCTAGTCAAAGTGCAAATTTTTTTTCAAACCATTGAAGTCGGCTTTTTATTCCTGCTTCTCACTGTGGATCTGGCTTTTTATTTTTATTTTTATTTTTTTTAATTTTGAAAGTAGTAAAATACAACAGAACAAGACAGAATAAAGCCAACTGAGACCATATAGTGAAACTGGTACAGAATTTCACAACAGGTTATCAGGATAACAGTAATAGGAATCACAGTGTATTTCATTATCTTTACAATAGTTGTTCTTTCAATCACATATATCAAAGTAA